AAGTTTACAATCTGGGAAATGAAAACATTTTCCATATGCGAGATATTCGAGAAATGTTTTACTCAAATTTATAAAGCTTTGTATGGAGTCGCCATGTTGGTCTCCCTCTGAGGGGCATCAACATGGCGGCCGGAAACCAACAGAAACATCTATTACCAAGTTTTGATATGAAAGGGCGAATTCATCCCTCGAGGAACTCATGAAAATTAAAATAATACTTTTCCTTATATAAGGACTGTTCAGATAGCAAAAGCCCCCAAAATAACTGAGTCAACTTTTTAACCTTCATGACAGCTCTCTTAGCCGCTTCGTTATTAAAAATGCCGTGTACTGCAAAAGGTTAGAAATTCAAGCGTTCTCATTCACAAAACGAAGAACCCTTTCTTTCGAAGTGAAAATCTGTACGTTTTAAGCGTCTCTGACACTTTCTGAAAATAAAACTCAGGAGGATCGACAATTCTTTATTTTTGAATTTTGGTGACGTCACGTAAAAACAGCCCTTCAAAACGAGGCTAGGTGCAAAACCTTTCCTTTCACGAGGCTACAACTGTACGGACTTTGACGAGACGAGCGCAACTAGTTTGCAACTCGCCTGACAGTATTGTGAAAATGAATTTTATTTGCGTGAAAATTAAGAAATCACTTTCTTATCAATGGCTGCGCACTTCGCCTCGCTTTGAAACAGAGGCTTGAGAAGACTTGGAAATGGCGAACATCACGGTGTTACCCCGCAAGTGACGTAATGCGAAAAAAGGGAGTCACAAAACAATGGCTAACCAGCAGTGGTTTCCGCACCACCAAGAAACAGCAGGAACTGTAGATAACAATTACGTGTATTAAAGACAAACGTTTTCGGACCGGAAAATGTAAACGTAGTATTTTACCACAATAAAGATTACGCCCGATATTTGTGATGAAAATTGCTCCATTTCATTTTTCAGTCTTACAGTTCTCAGAAATTCCAGCCTGAAATTTCCTTAAAAATATTGTTAAATTTCAATCTTGAAACTTGCACGCTCAAGATAGTTAGGGAATCCGAAATTATCTAGTTTTATATTAATATCGTGGGAAGTTGTTCGCGAGTGTCAGGAAAGGACGCTCTCCGCCCTCAAGCGGCATCGCCGCTCATGCGCGAGGGATACTCGCCTTTCGAAATGAAGGGCTTTCTCGAGGGTTAGGGTAGTATACTGGCTGCGAATGGTCTGTTTGCTCCCTTGGCAGAGCGCTTAAGTCTCACCAGACAAGAACTGAAAAAAGTTCAATGCAAAGATCTGTATATAGACGAAAAGAGATAGGGATTCCGGCTTAAGTGAAAATATAAAATTAGCGGTTAATTTATTTCTCTGACGCTGATATCCCTTACTACTTTTTGGAAGTTTTAGCCCTATAATTAATAACTCCAGTACCCATTTTTTGTTTTGTTTCCATTTTTCAATTTCCTAACCTATGAGCAGGCTCTCTGGTGCGAATTCGGGAAAACTGTTGGCGCAGCCTATAAATGTCCTGTTCGCCCTGCTCGTTCTCGTTCCTTTTTTCAGTAATAATACTCCATGCTGTCACCCTGGGATGGGTAGTATTGGGTACTGCCTATAGTGACCTGTACAGGGAGGGTTCGCCCGGAACGGGTAGGTATATACAAGGGTAGGGATTTCACTAGTTGAGATATATAAAAGGATTGGGAAATCTATCATTTTGGTCTGTAAAAGGACCTGAAGGTGCCAACAGACGCATTTTAGGGCTGTGAAAAAGCCAAGAAAACTTCATGGTTTAGTGGTCTATTCAAGTTTTAAAAGACATAACAGTTGAAACGGGTGCAGCGTTCTAAACTTGGTACAGTGGAACCTCTACTCAACGGACACCTCCATTCAGAGGACAAAAAATTTGGTCCCGGAAAAATGTTCACATTGTCTTTGTATTGCTACCTCTATTGAAGGGTCTTGAAGGGACATCTCTGTGCAGGGTAAAAACACTTTTGTCACTTTTTGTTGTCCCCGAAACCCTGGTTTAACCTCTATTCAGGGGACACCTCAGCACTCAAAAGTGACTGGCCACAAAAATCATTGATAAGTGCACTTATCACAATGGCGACAGCTTTCAAAACATGGACTATCTCACCTAAATCAAAAATCGATGTACTGCACTTGTGGGAATTCAACACACAACATCGCAGAGTAGCCCCCCGTCCCCCACCGCTGACGACGGAATCAGTTTGCATCAGCGTTCATGTTCTCAGGGGTCATGAAGGGCGGTTTTTCTCGGACTGTTTCGGACGCCTGTATGCCCAGCATTTTCGTCACTCAGTTATCTGGTTATTGGCCATTTTTATGGTCTATGGATCGTTACTTACTGAAAAAAGGTCATGCAAAACGTGGGCTGCCGACTTCTTTCACTGTAAATTATGATAACAATGATATTTTACAAACATAAATCATGAATTTGCAGGCTATTTGGCTTCGCACGCGCTGTGATTCGCGCTGTGTGGGGTTTGAACATCAACTGTGTGACGTCAGTTTATTACGCAAGGACCACACCACCACAATGTGTTCGCGGGCTCGTCCAAGCCGGTTCTACGCAAGGTAGTGGCCGTCTTTAATAGTTGTAAGAAAGTAGACAGGTTTTTGGCGTCCATTGCCTTTGATTATGACTTCGAGAGCGCAGAGGGACAAAGGACAGAAGCAGAATACAGCCCAGACAATTTTATCGGAGTTACTGAAGGAAGAAGAGAATAAATATTGTTCTGATTGTAAAGCAAAAGGTATGGAACCTTTCATCGATCGATCGTCTTCCGTTGGAGCGAGAGTTCGCTTGTCAAGCTGTAAAATTCTCACTTCTTGGTCGACAAATAACCGTATTTTTCTACTACAGGACCTCGTTGGGCGTCTTGGAACCTGGGAGTGTTTCTTTGCATTCGGTGCGCGGGTATACATCGAAACTTAGGTGTTCATATTTCTCGAGTCAAGTCAGTAAACCTTGATTCATGGACGACGGAACAGCTAGAAGTGAGTGAAACGTCATTCTACTGGTCTTACGAAAAGCTGTTATTTAGGTTTGATTTTAAAACTGAGACACTTTTTTTTTTTTCATGTCATGTTTAGAGTATCCAAGCGTGGGGAAACAAGCGAGCAGCAGAGTTTTGGGAATGTAATCTGCCAAGTGATTTTCGACGTCCACAGACCGACTCGTACTATTCGACAAAAAACACCGGTTAATTTAAATTTCTCGGGGAAATTTTACCATCTGTAGCATAATGGCTCATGATTTATTGGGTAGTGTTAAATCTATAGACCACTTAAAGCTATTTAACCAAACGTGATTTTCATATCGCGTAATGTTTGATACTTTTGACACTGGGGAAGGAGCTTCCTTCTCTTTTCACTTGTGGGAACAGGGAGCTTGTTGTCGCCCATCATGAACTGTGCCATGTATGTGAACCGATTTAATGCATTTGTCAAAGGTTAAAATCAATGATTTTTGTTTGTTCATGTTTTACAAACGCTTAATTTTTACACTGTAGTAGGTTCTTTCAGGTCTTTACGACAAACAGGCGTTTAATTCCTTACGTGACAGTGCGTGGTGGCAAACACACATTCCATTTTGTTGGCGTGCGATTGTGATAAATTGTTTTCCCCGGTGGTTAAATATCGCGAGAGAAAGGGCCGACAACTTAAGTGAAATGCATAGGTAAATAATAAGAAATGCGGAAAAAACTCTGTTAATTCCGATCAAATCTGTTTTCATGGATTTTGAACATATTAATTTGTGTGAAGTAAATTGACGAGTCTGGCAGAGACCGGTGTAAAGTTTGAAGACATTTTATGAAACTGAGTGTGGTTACTACAGGAAACATGTCTAAAATTTTTTCGATTAAACAACTAAATAACTGCTACTTTTGAATGTTTTTCATATCATAAAAGATATGATGGACTATCGTAATAACAAATCCAACATATTTCTGTTTAATGGCCAATCAAGGATTGTAAGAAATGTATCAGAATATTAATTATGAATTGTACTGTATATGTAGTCATTTTTTTACGTAGATCTCTTGGTTAATCGATTTAATCCATATTTATGCTCAGTTACGATCCATGTGCTGGGTATAGGCCATTTCTAAAAACAGTAGCAGCATAATAGATTTGAATGTAAAATAAATATTTAGCATATATGTTGTAGTTAATTTTTGTTATCAGACTCAGGTAATTTGGGTTTTCTTTTGTTTTTGGGTATGGTAATGTATGCTATTAATGTTGAAACAAAAGAAAAAGAAAAATTACCTGAAATAAACAATTAACTACAACATGTACAATGAATGAACATGCTTTTACATCCATACTGAAAGTCTGCACTTTTTGCAGTTGATTTTTCTCAAAAGTTTGATTTACTGATTCAATTATTCCACTTGTGTAGGGAAAGCAAACTTGATACCAGTGACATTAATAACAAAATAATGATGTAATTTAAGCGTGATTGAAAGGAGTGTTTTGTCAATAGATTGAAGTGACTGGATTTTTTTCCTGTTGTTTTGTCTTCTTGTCTTGTTGTCTTTTAACTTTACAGAGCCACAGAACATTTTATCAGAAACAAATATGAACGTAAAAAGTATTTAAAGAAAGATGGCCTTCCACCTAGTAATCCAGCAAAGAACTCTGTACCCAAGGAGGTGAAACCTGCAGAGAAGGTATTAAATGCAGATTTTCACTTTCAATATGACAGTAGATACATTGTTTGGTTGTTTGTTTGTTTAATAGTGAACTTATGCAATGGGATGGCAGAGAAGAAAGAAGACAGCAAACCTTGAGTGGCAAGCTGACGTTATTGCATATTTTAAAAAAATTTTCCACCAAAATTCATCTTCCTTCAAACAGATCTTTTTTGTTAAAGACCAGAACACAGCAATGTTCAGGGAAGATTGCTACAGAACAGGCAAACAATAAAGCCACACATTTTTCACTCACAGACATTTTGCCACCCTGCTTTTTCTGCTGTCCTGTTTTGTACAC